CAGAGAAAGGTGTGGCTCGTGTTGCCAGCAAATTGGGCAGCTGGAGTTAGTCTTCTTCTATGTCTAAAACCCAAGAGCAAAAGGAGAGGGCCTGGAGGTGTCGGGCTACCCCAAAGAATCCCAACCCAGAGGACTGGGCATAAACAACGATTAAAATACTGTCCCAGAATTCTCAGTACTAGCTTGGGATTATTTTGACCCAGCTCTTTGCACGTCCCTACAGGAGGTGATAATTTAAAAAATTTAAAACCCAACCCTATTTATGGCATCACCATCATGAGGAAACCCAAACCCCCTGCCAGATGCGAGCGACAGAGATTTGCAAAAATTCAGTGTATTGCTCCTTAATTAATGAGACTCAGTTACCCTCCACTGTCTCATCTTATGACAGCTCCTTTTTTCACTTCCAGCTGGCTTTCTCGCCCTCTACCATTGTTAGACGAGGGGAGCAAAATACAGGTTTTGGGGGAAGAAATAAAGGGGATGGTGAGTTGGAGAAGGACCCGGAATCCAGGAGAGATGCAGAGCTAGGATCCCTGAGGGATGTTGCAATAGCTATCATGTTTGCAACAGATTAACTCTGTCTTCTTCTGAAAACCCAAGAAGTTGACGTCCTCACAGTTGGTCATACACGACAGTATTGAATAATAGTATAAACTCCGCCCTGAGGAGGGGAGAGGGAGGGAATGCAGCTGTAAGGACTAGCTTTCCTCCTGCCGTGCTCCCAGGAACCACCTCTCTCCTGAGCCTCACTAATTTCCCCCTAGGCCCAAATCAGCCTCAAGGCTGGGCCCACCCGTTACTGACCCAGATCATGGATTTCATTCCCTAACCAGCGAGGCCCATCGGCTTCCTCGTGGCTCCTGTCGTCTTAAGGAAAAGTGCATCTTTGCCATGCCCTCTGGAGAGTCACCCCATCCTAGCCCATCCCACCCGCTCACACACTCCGAGGGCCACGGGGCAGCCTCATTTCTGGGGGGGGGTCTTTCTCGGCCACTCTGTCCCCCACGCTACCTCTTTTCGTAAGTAAGTAAATGTTCTCAATAGCACAGGACTGTTGGTGCGTCAGCTGGCAGTGCTTCATGCTGGTATAGCAGATCCCAAGGTGAAACTTTTTACATTTATGACACAGTATTGTTTTCTCTGCCAGACACAGAAAGAGGTGCTTAGAGAATCTCCTCCGGAGAAGGTTCTCCAGGCCTGGAAGCTTCTCGGCAGGGATTTACTGAAACCTAGTGGCTCCCACTCTTTCTCAGGCCATTGAATTCTTTGATAATCTCTTGAAAGGCAGCACGGACAGACATCAATCAAATGTTGGATATGACTTCCAAAGGTCGGAGTTCCTGTAAAATTGATCTACCGACCCCCAAGGATTTAGCCCCGTGTCGACCCAAAATCTAGATGATTTTTGTCCAGTAAAAAGGGCAAGGGAGTCACAAAGGGGATTTTAGCTTTCTTACTGGAAGGTCTGGAAGAAGAGAAAACTCCTAGGATTCTACAGTAAGGATGTACTCCAGCCCTCTCTGAGGATGGAGGGGAGGTTTACTTCTAAAAACGTCACAAATGACCTGTTACCGAGGACGTGAGGCATGGTCATACCTGTCAGATACTCCCGAAGTGCACCTGTGAAAAGAAGAAAAGTCTTCCTTGTCACGATCTCCCATAAATCTGCCAAAGCCCCAAAGCAAGTTTTGGAAATTTCTCTTCCCCCAGCATCTGCTTATCTCTTAACCAACAACCAGCTCCCCTCTGTCCCCAGGACTTACCGTTATTGGTGCAGAACAGAGAGACGATCACCAGCAAAAACAGGGTGACCATCCTGGGACTCGGGTCATGTGCGGTTTCCTGAGGAACCTGCTGGTTGATTTCCTTCAGTGATCTGTCCTTTGGCTGTTCATCTAAATGATATAATTATAAAAGTTCAGGGACTGATAGTACTTCGATGTTCCAAGAACCAAACCACCCACTGGAGTCTCACTACCCCCAAGGCATCTATTTTAAAATTCTCTCCAACGATGAGCCAACATACGCCTGTTGTGTTCATGGTTGTAGAGCTAAGCCTTGAGCTATGCAATCGAGTCCAATTTCTCTTTCACGTTTTAACCTCCCAGGTGTATCAGGACAGCGTTTGGACACCTTGTTCCTTTTGGCTCTTTTCACTAACCTGGCCACTCTCTTCAGAATCATCTCAGATTTTTAATTTAATTTAATTTTTGTGTCTCACCTAGACGGAGGCACCAGAAAATAAGCTCAGGATTCCAGGTGTAGTCTGAATGTAGGGGAGGCCCTGGGGGTGCTCCTTCTGTGGTGCAGGGAAGGGAAGTTTCAGGAAAAAGGTGAGCGGAGGGGAAACTTGTCTGGTGTGCTTTCAGGTGACTGATTTTGTAATTAAATAATTACGAAACACATACCAAATGCCAATATCACAGGGAGAGAAGGTAAGCGAACCAGGGCACAAGTCAGCGGTCTCACAGACGTTAGCGCCTAGTTTTAGGGACCGCAAGGACACCAAGCAAGGCTGTCTGTGAGGGCCGAGGCGAGGGACATTCCGATTTGACTGCCTAACCAGGGAAGGCTTCCCTGAAAAAGAGATGACTGGGCAGGACTTTTTAGGCTGATAATATGTTAGTTAAAAGCAGTGAGTAGGGCCCTGGCCAATGTGGCTCAGTTGGTTGGACGTCGTCCCATGTACCGGAAGGTTGCCGGTTCGATTCCTGATCAGGGCAGATGCTGGGGTTTCGGGCTTGATCCCCAGTAGGGGTGTGCAGGAGGCAGATGATTGACGTTTCTCTCTCACATTGATGCTTCTCTCTCTCCCTTACTCTCCCTAAAATCAATAAAAACATACTTAAGAAAAAAGGAGGGTCAGGCACCCAAAAGAACAGCCAGGAGGGTCAGGCACCCAAAAGAACAGCCTATGTCAAAGTCCAGAGAGATGTCAGAAAACCTGACACACTGTGATGAGAGCAGGCCCTGTGGTTGCAGTGACATGGGTAAGCAAGAAATTAAGGCGCAAAGGTGTGTCTCGTTGGAGGTGGTGGCCTGTGGGGACCACGCACTGGCCTTGCTGCTGAGATTACTGTGTCCTATCATGCAGGACGGACTTTCTCACTACCTGACTGTACATATCTATCTGGTCACGTGCTTGACTCCTCCACGGGAACACAGCAAGGGCTCTGTTTTACTTACCACGTCTCACCCAGCATCTGGAAGCTGGAAACATAGGAGACACCCAATAAATATCTGTGCAACAAGAGGTTAATGACTTTTCCACATGCTCTCGTGCGCCCTTCCAGTCCATTTTCCACATAGCAACCAGGTTATCAGATTGATCTTTTGGGAACTAAAGCAAGGATGTGAAATGAGGCTCTTTCTAGCTAGAGTCCCAAGAGAGTAGATGGCAAGTATTTTTACATTTCAAAGTGGAGTTTTGTGCTGCTTATGGAGATTTGGAGGGAAAAATAAATGAAAGCCAGTTTGAATATCCTGGGCCTCTTGCCCATCTTGATTTTGGCGATGATTTCACAATTATGAACATGCCAAATATTATTATACTGCGTANGAATATCCTGGGCCTCTTGACCATCTTGATTTTGGCGATGATTTCACAATTATGAACATGCCAAATATTATTATACTGCGTAGTTTAAATTAGTGCAGTTTTTTGATGTCAATTATATCTCAATAAAGCTATAAGATTTTAAAAATAAAATTTAAACGTATTTTTAAATCATCATTGAAGAACAGATAGACATTGTGTGCCTCTAGATATGATACAAAGAAGAACACAATATCACCCATGCAGTGTTTCAGCCTAGAGTGGACCATCTACACCTAGTCACGAGGGATCATCAAACATACTGAAAATGATGAACCCTGCATTTTAAAAGAGGGGGGTCTGTATTCTTTATTATATATATATCTCACATATAATATATAACATATGTAATGCATATATATTATTATACATACTATTATACATATATTACAATATACATGTATATTTTATATATGTATACATGTGAGTGTATATATACAGATATATATATATTAATGCCATGAAAGACAAGGACAAGCTGCAGAAATAGTCCAGTTTAGGAAGCTAAAGAGACATGACCACTAAATGCAATTCCTGACACTAGTCTGGTTCTTGTACTCAGCAGGGTGGAGGGAAAATACTATATAGAAAATTATTGGGTCAAATGACAAAATAGAATGGCAGTGATAGACTAGATGAAAGTACTTATCAATGCTGAATTTACCAAAGTTGATAACTGTTACTGTGGTTGTGTGAATGTCTCTATTCTTAGAAAATAAATGCTAAAATATTTTTAAGATGTCTAAAGCAATGATGCATGCAAGTTACCCAGAATGGCTCAGAAAGTTGGGGAAGGAGACAGCGGAGGGGGCTGGGAGTGAGAGAGAGAGAAAATACAAGCAACTGCTGAAGCAAGTCGGATTCAGAGTTAACAGTATGTGAATCTGGGTAACGGAGAAATGGTGTTTTTTGTGTTAATTTTATTTTTGCAACTTTTCCCGTAGGTTTGAGATCACTTCAAAATTACCAAAGTAAAAAATAATTTAAAAAACTCCATTAGGAGCACGTGTTTTGTCCTAAGATAAATGAACGAATCTTTGGTTATCCTACAACATTTGAGATACAATTTAAATTGGAAATACATAAAATATAAAATATCATGATCCCTCGACTCAGCTTTAATGCTTTCAAGATAGAAATGACTTCCAAAAGATTTCTGGAGCATTTCCAGACTATCACAGATTTTTTTCTTTCAAATAAATTGACAAAGAAACTTTGTATTTCAATTCCATTCTGATATAGAAGCTTCCTTAGCACTTAAAATTTTGTAAGGAGAAAAAGGAGAGATGTTAGTAAGGGTACAAACTTCCAGTTAGAAGATGAGAAGGTTCTGGAAGTTTAATGGACAGCGAGCATGGTGGTTATAGATAAGGACCCCGTACTACGGATTGGAACCTTGCCAAGAGAGTAGACCTTACATGTTTTTACCACGAAAAAGAAACGGTAATTATGGGATGTAACAGAAGTGTTGGCTAACGCAATGGTGGCAATCAGAGTGTGATATGTACGTATATTCAATTAACACATTGTACACTTAAAGTTATATCTATAGTTATATCTAAAGTTATATCTATCTATATGTCAATTATTTCAGCGTAAAGTCAGGGTGGGGGGTGGAAGAAAAATATTTGCAAAGACGTGGGCCTCTACCCTCTTCTTGAGTACTGGCAATTTTGCCAAGAAAGTTTTGATTGTTCAGTAGCACCTTAACAATAAGTTCAGGGTTTTGAATTGAAACATTTATCGCATTCAGATAGTTAAAAGTATCTTTCAGGTAAGCCCAGGCCATGAATCAAGTCCTCTCTTTCAACATGTTTCACAAAGAGAGAGAGAGAGAGAGAGAGAGAGAGAGAGAGAGAGAGAGAGAGAGAGAGAGGAACTTCTCTTATCAGAATAGGTACTAAGGCTGGTCCCTTTGAAAGTCAGAGAACTCCTACATGAGAGAGAAGGCTTTCTTATCCCCCACAAAAATATGTTTTAAATGTGATGATTTAGAAACCTGGTTCAGATAATGTTGATTTTTCAGACAATGACAGAACTCCTTCCAGGGATGTGTGAAAGAGTTTTCACTGTCAGGCGTGTCTGCTGCAGAGCGAGTGAATGGCCAGGATGTGAAGACTTTCTCACTAAATTAGGTAAACTTTCTCACTAAAGTAGCTAAACCAGGTGGGCACCACCCATCAGAGGAACTCCACGTTTGAAAAGAGAAAAGAAGCTTTTGTCTCTGTCCAAGTGTTGTCTGATCAAATCATTTTTTACCATGGCTCAAAAGTCATTGACTTTCACAGTTTCCAAAAGAGACTCGTGATGTAAGAATTCCTCGACGGCTTCACCTCGCAGAGCAAGCAGGACCCAAAGGCAAGGCAGAGCTGTCTGCATTGAAAGATGCCTTTCATTTCATTTTGTTTTGTGCGTCAGCTTATTTTGTTCATTGGGTTCCACATATGAATGATGTCATATGGTACTTGTCTTTCTCTGCCTGGCTTATTTCACTTAGCACCGTACTCTCTAGGTCCCTCCATGCTGTCGCAATGGGTAAAAAGTTCCATGAACAGTCTCGAAAAAGGTTTCTGGAAATTTTTGTTATCCATTGTGAGTTTTCATATGAAGCATCCTATTAAGAGCAAAACTGTGAACGAAGCCTGAATTTTAGTGACACTGATCTGTGCTTGAACTTCCACTATGCTCTTTGCTAGACACGTCGCCACCAGGGTGTTGTGAGGTCTCCATGAGATTCCCTAAGTGGAATTAGCCAGCCTTCTAGGTGGCACATGACAAGCACTAGATAAACGTTGGTTTTGTTCTTTACTGCTCTTCCCACCAGCAATCAGACGTGTGAGGGGATAGATGTGAACTCCAGGTGATTTCCTTGGGCCCCACAAGCAGGTATCCCCCCATCAGATTTTTCAAAGGATCTTCATCTCTCACTCTAGTCTCTATACACACTCTGGTAAGCAATTGCTGCCCCCTGGGAACCCAGGAACAAAGCAGCCTGACCCTGACTCTATGCCAAGCTCCATTCCCCCAAAACAAGATAACATTTAGAAGCTCAAATTAAGAGGTTGCTCATCTGTGGTATCACCAAGATCTCAGTCACCCACCCTAGAGCCAAGAGAGACCATGACCACAAGCACACGATGTTCTGCCTTCATCTCCATGGAGCAGGGCAAACGGCATCTATGCTGAGTGACAGCCTTCTTGGCACGGGAGCGCATTAATTTGGGTGCCTCACTGAGTCTGCATCAGTGGGATCGTGGACACTGGTATCATGTGAGACCGATACCTTCATTCGTTCACTTCATTCACTCATGCAGTCGTCATATGTTCAGCACATTGCCATGTGCTAAGCCGAGTGCTAGGTCAGAATAACAGAACTTTGCACCCATCCTCATGACTTACATCACAGAACCACAGAATGTAAAAGTTGTAAATGATCATAAAAGTGGTTGAAATCTCACATCACAGATAAATGGCTTGGTAAAGACTCCATGGGTTGCGTTGTAATCAGCCACAGGTCTCTCAGGAAAATGCTATTTCTATTATATCGCACTGCCTCTGTTAATAGGTTCTAATACCTACTCTCTCCTACTCCATGCTGAATGAAGAAAGAAATTGTTTTTAAGAGAAACTTTGATGGAGGAGTTACTGTGGGTGAATGAAGAGTAGGTCAGAGGACCCCAACGCTTGGATGGAGTTGCAAAATTTCATCATCCCAACTGGAAATAATCCAGTAGAGAAGAGACTCAAAACTCAATGGGCCTTTCAGGAAGCATCTGCCATGGGGAACCTTGAAGGAAGAAGGGAAACTGCAAACCCACCGCAGCTGAACCTAGAATGGCTATGGTTCTAGAGCCACCGTCTTTAAACAGACAAAGCAGAGAAAACAGGTAACAGATGAAATACCCTGATAACCTTGTGAACCCAAGCACCAAAATCTCAGGGGTTTGCCTTTTCGATAAACCTTTGGAAAGTCCTGAAAAATTCCACCCAGTGTGTAACATCCTCACTGGAAATACAGCAGAGGAGAGAAAAGGCTTCGCAGTCTTTCTCTCCATTCTAGAATCAATTCTTTTCAGAACCAATCCCCTCTTGTCTAAGGCTCCTGGCTCTCTTCCTGGGCAAGGATGATTGTAAATTTTGTGGCATTTGAGCTAAGACCTTATATCGCACAGTCTGTGTCCGATGTCTCAAAATGTCAGACTTGATATGTTTTATCGAACACATTGTTCCTGCAGCTAAAGAACCTGCCATTGAATCAGTTCAGTATGGAAGGTCCTTAGGATCTCTAGCCAAAGTACCATCAGCTCACCCACAGGTTTAGATTTAAATATAGTTTTTTGGTTGGTTTGTTTGTTTTTAAAATATATCTTTACTTCAGAGAGAGGGAGAGAGAGGGAGAGAGAGACAGAAACATCAATGATGAGAGTCATTGATTGGCTACTGGGGATCGAGCCTGCAACCCGGGCATCGAACTGTGACCTCCAGGTTCATGGGTGGGATGCTCAGCCTTTGAGCCACTCTGGGTGCGCAGGTTTAGATTTAGGGTGCCAGGGCTGGTCATCATTTCCAGTGCTTGACCGATGGCGAACCTTAACTGAGGTAACTTTTGTAGAGACGGATACCTACCCCATGGACAAAACCAGCCAGATTCACAATATAAACCTGCTAAAGTTCAAGCTGTATGATAACTCTAAGGTGCGTTTCACAGCCCTACACACTGAACAGTCCCTGGAGGATGGGTTTCAGGTAAGGTGAAAGAGATCTGGGCTGAGAATCAAAGTTCTAGATTGAAGACCCAGTTTGGTCATAGCTTACACACATCTTTTCATTCACTTTCCCATTTCTCATCCATAAGGTAAGGAGTTGGGTGAGCTCGTCTGAGTTACACATTGCTCTGCTCTCATACATGGGACACTGCCTGGCACATAAAGCTCTCAATAAATATTTGTCGAGTGTATGAATAAATCTCCAAGAGGCATGGAATCAGGAGGATTAAGAGTATGGTCTCTAGAACTGGAAAGTCTTGCTTTGAGTACTGGCACTATCAGTCACTAGATGTGTGATCTTGGGTAAGATACTAACCTTCACCAAGACCCAGTTTTCTCCTGTGGGAAATTGGGACAAGAATTATAATATCATAACTGTAATACTACTAATAATTATTATGGTGATTATATTAAAAGACAAAAGTAGCTTAATGTAAACCCCAACATTTATTCATGATCAGTATTCTCTGCTGTGGGGGGCAGAGGGGAGGAAAAAATGAAGCTGAGCTCCCAGTGGAAACCTCGTGTGATTGGTTCCCTTACGCCTGAATGACCGCTGCCCTGTGATGAAAGCTTCCTCCCTGCAGCCTGCAGACCTGGGCTTGCAGCCCCGGCTTCTTTTCTTTCTGCACAAGGGACTTCTGTGTCAGGATGGACAAACGCTTCTTGTTGGTCTTCTCCCTCTTCTGCATTGAGGGTGAGTCACGGGCCTGAGGAGTGAGTGGGCTCCAGGGATGGGACCTAGGGAGCCCCAGGAACCTCTACCTGTGTAACAGAGATCCATGCGGGGCTGAGCCTTGACTGCTTTTATAAGGGAGGGGGAGCTAGCCTTCAAAATTCTCCTTCTGCCTTCCGGGCTAACATTCTGACCTTTCAACATTCTGCCATTCCCCATCAGGGCCTCAAGCCTCTATGGCTGCCCCTTCACACTGCTTCACCTCTTTCCCTACCCAAAATCCTAACGAGATTTTCCTTGGGACATCCTTCCCATTTATAAGTCTGTGTCCATTTCTCGGGGAAGCTGGTCAGTCCATAATGAATGATTTTGTAGTTTATTTTAGCACTGGACAATGGCCTTTGATACCCTTATCAGGAGCTTTGTATTAAAACAAGTGATCTTAGGAGAGCAAATACTAGATGTTCTGGAATCAATCAGATGAAAAAAAGTAAACCTGCATTTTCATTGGCTCACCCCACAAAATATTCCATAAAGTGCCACTAACTGTGCTATAACTCATGAGGCTTCCCCAAGATTCAGTCTGAATTCCAAACTAACAGAGTATATCACCTAACACCATCTCATCTAAGCAGCAAATGTCAGAAATCCCATCACAGTAACACTAGCTGGGGTAAATGATTTTATTTCATTTTATTTACTATTATTATTTTAATCTTCATCCTAGGATATTTTTTCTATTGCTTTTCAGAGAGAGTGGAAGGAGGAGAGAGAGGGGGAGAGAGAGAGAGAGAGAGGGAGAAAGAGAGAGAGAAACATGGATGTGAGAGAGACGCATGGGTTGGTTGCCTCCCACACGCGCCCCAACCCGGGCCGGGGATCGAGCCTGCAGCCAAGGTACGTGCCTTTGGCTGGACTCGCACCTGGGGCCCTTCAGTCTTTGGGCCAACGCTCTAACCACTGAGTCAAATCGGCTAAGGCTGGGGTAAACTATTTTAAGGCACTCAGCTTTGTCATCACACTCTTGTCTATCTATAGTTGCTGCCAAATAGGCCAGGCCAGCATGAGTCCAACCATTTTTTTAAAAAATATATCTTTATTGATTTCAGAGAGAGAGGAAAGGAGGGAGAGAGAGAGAGACAGAAACATCAATGATGAGAGAGTCATTGATCGGCTGCAGCCCACAACCCCGGGCATGTGCCCTGACTGGGAATCGAACCCGGATCGCCTGGATCCTAGGTCAACGCTTAACCACTGAGCCACGCCCGGCCGGGCTCAAACCATTTTTAAGTTGGAAAAAGCAAGGCCATGAAGGCTAAACCTTTGCTCAGCTACCCAGGTTAAGCGGCTTAAGTTGGGACCAGAAAAGAGCCCCCCTGCTCTCCTACCAGCATTTCTCTGCGACGTGGAGGCGGCTGAGAGCTCCGACCTTTTAATACCTGGTGCCACCCGCTCCTCACCTGTCCCCTTGACCCCGGGCTACCTACCCTGTCCCCGAGACCCACAGGTGTGCAGCTCTTTCTAGGCCCACACGGCCCCTGCCTCACCCCAGCTCTGTGCCCTCCAGCAGTGACACCACTGAAATGCATAACGTGCCACCTTCTCATGGTGCCCGATCGCTGCAGGAACGGCTTTGGCATCTGTTACGCTGAGAAATATGAGTCGTGCATGAGACTGAACATCCTGAAGGGTAAGTTGGAGGGCCGGGGGGGTGCCCTGAGGTTCTTCGAACATTCTTACGAGGGCGCTTCAGCAGTTTTATATCTCAGACTAAGGCCGACCTAGAAGGGGAATCAAAGCGCAGAACGCACCTCGCACGGGCCGGGGGCACCCAGGCAGAGGGGATTTGGGAAACTGAGGCAGGACAAAGAAGGGGGGGAGTCCGTGTTCTCCAAAAAGCTGACCAAACTGACCCCAACTCTGAAGACACTCAAGCACTAGTCACTGATCTTCCAGGGGAACGGAATGAAGCAGCTCTGTCGTCAGGGACCTCAGGCAACACCCCCTGCGGGGCCTGGAGATTTCTCCACCACCTGCCTGGGCCTCTTGGGGACTGTGCGCTGGGAAACCATCGCCAACCCTACCCTGATGCCCAATTACATTTCCACGGACTGGGCTAGTGCCGGGCTTGACTTGTCTTCAGAGAACTTAGATCACTGGCTTATTTTCCTATGTTCCTTCTTTATTACAGACTCTGAACTCCGGTTGTCATACTTGGTGTGTCAGAAACACTGCAGAGACCTGACCCTTGAATTCAACCACCGGACTTACGTCCATCAATGCTGCACCACTGACTTTTGTAACGTCTCGATCTAAGACATGTGCCGCCCTGCCGCCTCCCTGCAGAGTGTTACTGATGTTTCTCCCCCTGCACGCTCTGCCTGCCCTCATTTCCTGCCCAGTCCATCCCAGAAGCAGCCCAGCTCTCTCGTTAATTCATGCCAGCCTTCCCGGTGCCCCCAGCTTGGCTCCTTTCCCGGCCGGAGGCAATGATTCTCAACAGCACATTTCTGCAGTTACAGGAACTGTCGTGACCACACCCCAAGAGGCCTGCGCTGAGAGGCCCAGTCCAGTAACATCTAAAACAAGACCATTCTAGAACCTTGTGATTTAGCTTCCATAGTTGAGGTCAACCAGAACTCCCTCGGCTGAAGACTCACAAATATTTATCTTCATGTAAAACCTGCATTTATCATTACTATAGTCAAGCAGGAAATAGCAACAAATTGGAGGGTGGACACTCAAGATTTTCCTGTATGGAAACAAAGTTATTTTGTTCCCCCAGTGGACAGTGTCCACTTCAGACTCCGTGGCGATTTTCTTGTCGCTTACAAAGTCTATCTGTGGCCACCGTTAGTCAGAAAGAGCGAATTAGGGATCTCCTGCTTCTGCAGCATTCATAGTTTACACACGCTCCCTTCTAGGCCTGTCAGGATGGATGCTCGGGCACATCCCTGCTCCCCCTCCCCTTCCTCTCCTAACCTTTCCCTATTCCACTTTCCCTCGGCTTCCACCGCCACTATCCCCCCCGCCAGCGCCCAGACCATTGCTGTACAAATGCTCCCTCTTCTGAACGCCCAAGTCCCTTTATGGATACTTTTCTGCCCACTCTCTCCTTGCGAGTCATTTCTGTTTGTCTCATTTGGGCCGCCCGGGGTGCTACAAATCACAGTAGGAACAGGGGCCACGTCTTCCTCATTTCTGCTGCCTGTGGTAAAGTTGATGGGGTCTTTCATTTCCACCTGTTCAGTTGGCAGGACCATTGACGCCTCCCTGCTTTTCCCGGCTGCCTGCCTAGTTTTTCAGTGATGTCAAGACTAATAGGTGGGTTCTCAGATTCAACTACTTGGCATAAAGTTTCCCTTCAATCTGTCCTCTAACAGTTTCGGCCTTCAGTGATTATTATTAACTCTATCCATTATGTGTTATGAGCTGAAATAGGATTACTTTACCCTCTCAATTGAACTATAAATCACATATAAAATCACATATTTTAAGCAGACAGTTTGAAGTATTGGGCAAATGTGGAAACCTACATAACCACCATTCCGTTTAAAATATAGAACATTTCCATCACCCAGTAAGTTTTTTCAGGTAACCATTCACTCCCACAGGTAATGTTCTAACATATATCACCGTAGGATAGTTTTACGTGTTCTTAAACTTATTATTAATAAAATTACACAGAAAGTACTCTCTTGAGTCTGGTTTCTATCACTCACCACCCTATTTTTAAGATTCGTGGGTTTTTTTGCTTATAGCACAAGTTTGATCTTTCCCCCACTGTGTACATATACTACAACTTATTCGACAAATTCTCTTATTGAGGGACATTGGATTTTTCCCAGGTTTGGGCTATTGTGAATAAAGCTACTATAGAATTCTTGAATAAGACCTTTGGTGGACATACACACTCATTTCTCTTGGGTAGGTAAGGAAAAGTAAAATTTATGAGTTATAAGGTAGGCATGTGCATAACTTTATTTTTTATTTATTAATTTTTAAATCCTCACCAGAGGATATTTTTTCCATTGCTTTTCAGAGAGCGTGGAAGGTGGGGGAAGAGAGAGAGAGGAAGAGAGAGGAAGAGAAACATCGACGTGAGACACATAGATTGGTTGCCTCCCACCTGCACCCCAACTGGGGCTGGGGATGGAGCCTGCAACCGAGGTACATGCCCTTGGTTGGCATCGAACCCGGGACCCTTCGGTCCTCGGGCTGACACTCTAACCACTGAGCCAAACCAGCTAGGGCCATATGCATAACTTTAAACAAACCGCCAAACAGTTTGCCAAAGAGGTGGCACGTATCAGTGCTCTACAAGAGTTCCATTTACTCCATGACTTTCCATCACCAGTTATTTATCATTTAAATTTTATCCCTTCTAGCCCGGCTGGCATGGCTCAGGGGTCGAGTATCGACCTAGGATCCAGGAGATCGTGGTTCGATTCCATGTATAAGTGAAATCATCTGGTATTTTTCTTTCTCTGACTGGCTTATTTCACTTATCATAATACTTTCCAGGCCCATCCATGCTGTCAGAAAAGGTAAGATTTCCTTCTTTTTAATGGCTGAATAGTGTTCCATTGTGTAACTACCACAGTTGTGTGTTTTTTTTTTGAATCCTCACCTGAGGATATGTTTATTGATTTTAGAGAGAGGGTAAGGGAGAGAGAGAGAAAAACATAAATTGGTTGCCTCGCATACACACCCCCACGGGAGATTGAACCCACAAGCCAGGAATGTGCCCTGACCGAGAATCAAACCTGCAACCTTTCGGAGCACAGGGGGACTCTCCAACCAACTGAGCCACGCTGGCCAGGACTATACCACAGCTTTTTTTACCCACTCATCTACTGAGGGCACTTGGGCTGCTTCCAAATCTTCGCTATTATAAATAAGGCTGCAATGAACATAGGAGTGCATCTATTTTTTCGAATTAGTGTTTCAGGTTTCTTTGGATATATTCCCAGAAGTGGAATTGTGGGGTCATAAGGCAGTTCCATGTTTAATTTTTTGAGGAAACTCCATACTGTTTTCCACAGTGGCTGCACTAATCTTCATTCTCAACAGTGCACAAGGGTTCCCCTTTCTCCACACCCTCACCAACACTTGTTGTTTGTTGATTTGTTGATGGCAGCCATTCTGGTAGGTGTGAGGTGATGCCTCATTGTGGTTTTAATTTGCATTTCTCTGATGATTAGTGACATTGAGCATTTTTTCATATGTTTATTGGCCATCCGTATGTCCACTTTGGAGAAGTGTCATTTTTCCCAACACCATTTATTGAATAGATTGTCTTTACCCCATTGTATGTTCTTGCCTCCTCTGTCAAATAGTAATTGACTGTAAAGGTGTGTGTTTATTTCTGGGCTCTCTATTCTGTTCCATTGATCTAGATGTCTGTTTTCATGCCAGCACCATGCTGTTTTGATTACTGTGGCTTTGTAGTATAGTTTGCTATCAGGTAGCATGATTCCTCCAACTTTGTTTTTCTTTCTCAAGATTCCTGTGCCTACCCGGGGTCTTTTGTGGTTCTAAATAAATTTTTGGAATATTTGTTCTAGTTCTGTGAAATATGCCATTGGTATCTTGATAGGAATTGTGTTGAATCTATAGACTGCTTTGGGTAGTATGGACATTTTACCCAAATGTTACTTCTAATATTATATTAATTAGCCATAGAGATACTGAACATCCTTGTCTTATCCCTTATTTTATCATGAAACTAATGTTTCCCCATTAAATAAATACTGGCTTTTTGGACTAAACTGTGCATCATTTTATTATGTAAAATACATATTTATCAATTTCACTTTTTTATATATATGAATGGGTGCTGAATTTTGTCAAATGACTTCTTGTTTTCTATGGGGATGATCATCTGATTTTTCTACTTTATGTAATTGATATTTTTAACATTGAATGAACCTTTCATCCCTAGAATAAGACTCACTTGGCCATGATGTGTAGTATATGGTATCAGCTGGCCCCAATTCTTCACCCTTCCTTTTGTCTACACCTTTTTCAATGTCCTGCCATTATTAGTGGCGTGAGTTTCCCCGTCTCCTAACTCTAGGCTTGGTCATATAACTTGCTTTGTTCATTGTGGTGTTAGCAAACTTAATGTAGGCAGAGGTGGGAAATGAGCTTAGGTCTTGCTCTCTTCTGCTTCTGCCATTGTTCTGTAAGATATGTCTACGCTAGGCCATTGGTCTCAGGAGAAGATAAGCTTACAGAGCAGAGCTGAGTCACTCTACTCAAGACCAGCCTAAACCAACCAATCTCCAGCTACCCACTAGATGTATGAGCGAGTCTGGTCTGGCTGAGTTTAGCAGAGCTGCCCAGCTGAGCACCTCTAGAATATCTAAATTCTTCAGACACAGAAAAATAATTGGTTATTATTTTAAGCCACTGAGTTCTACAATGATTTTTTTACTCAACAAAAATTAACGATCCGTTATATATTATCCTTTTATCTGCTATTGAAATCTGTTTGCTGATATTTTGTTAAAGATTTTTAAATTGATGTTTTTAAGTGATAGAGTATGCTTCACAAGCCAGGAGACAGAGTAATTGGCCAATCCTCAGCCAAGTGCCCATCCTGATATACATGGCTTTGGCCATGAGTGCAAGAGAAGATGATCGGAGACGTGGTGATCAGGTGTATGTGGACAAGAGTAGGTGTGATTGGGATAGTTTCTCAAAATAGTGGCAGACACTAAGCCTCTCATGTTTGCTACGTTCACTATTGCTTTCACAGAAGACAGAGTTTTCTAATTTCACATTGACTTTCTCAAGCCCCTGCTTCATCCAAACCCTTCCCAGTCCCCACCAAATACCTCTTTTACTGTCCTCCCAAATATTTCTAAAATCCCCTGTGATTACTTTTCCCAATTTCTATCCAGTCTGCTTTCTCCTGATCTTCTCTCAGAAGTTTTACCAAAATATACTTTGTTCCCTTTGCCAGAAATTTTAGAACTCTGATGTCAGGTATAACATCAAAACTTCAGGGCAAGTAAAGATTGCCAGGGAGTATCAGGTGGTAAAGACAGTGGGATCCAACTAGAAAGTAGAGGTGGGGTTTTTGTGGCCTATGGTTTTATACTTTCCTGTTAACGGAAGCACTGACACGGGAAAGATGGTGCCTCCATGGGTAGATCGGTCTGTTGGCTTAGAGAAAAGAGTGGGGTCTGGATTTTGAGAAAATGCAAGATAATGTTGCCATCAGATAGGGGAAGGGCAAAGTTTCCCGAAAGACGTGGTTGAAAATGTAATAATTTTATTCTTCACCAACAATTCTGTGTTGGTCATTTGACACATATG